GGACAATGTGTATTAAAGGGCAAGTTCACTTTCCCAGGTAATATGGGAAAATGGAATTACCCGATCAAATCTGGCCCCCGGCTATACTTACCTTTCGGCAAACAGTCCTTACCCTCCGCCGGTACAGGTGTACTGTCCTCACCCCGTATTGTCCAGCGCAGTCCTGCCCTATGCATTTTGAATTTCGCTCGCTAATTGCAAGCACTCATTGGTCAGCGTTGTCTGGTGACCACGCTGACCAATGAGAAGCACTATTTAGCACAGGCCAATACAGTTTTGACTTGTACTCGCCCAAATGCTCGATACCTCCTCCAAGGTTTCCTCTGACCGGCAGTGCCATAGGGGAACATGGAGCCAGCTTCCCGTGCAATCAGGAAGCGGGGCAGCGACTAATAACCCACCTCCCAGTTTCCTGATTGGCCAGGAAGCCAGCTCCTTGCTGATTGGCTGGGAAGACAGCTTCCCAGCCATTCACAATCAAGCCGGCCAAACAACATGGAGTTGGTTTCCCTGGCAGTCAGGAAGCCGGGTTAATCAAGCCGGCCAAACAACATGTAGTTGGTTTCCCTGGCAGTCAGGAAGCCGGGTAGCATCTCATTCCCCGCTGCCCGGCTTCCTGATTGCCCGGGAAGCCTGCTCCATGCTCGGTGAGTACCGAAAGCAAAATATCGGTACTCGTACTCTATACCCAAAAACCGGTATTGGTGCATCCCTAGTCTTTATTAAAACTATTTTTTTTGTATTGGGACAAGTAGATTGTTAGAAGGACAAGTAGATTTGGCCCCCGCTTTAGCCCTTGGACAAGTAGTTTTTTCAAAAAATTTCCACACCACTGATATATATATATATATACTGTGAGCCGGCGATAGGTGCACATAAGCCCCCTGGGAATAAGCAGTCTCCCGGGCACAGATACCGAATCCAGGGGAGTAGTGGCAAACAGTGCAGTGTTTATTAGTGATATTAACAAGAGCATTCACAGGTGCTGTACAGCGGTTCACAAGAAATCAACAAAATAAAACCTAGCCGTATCCCGGCACTAACATCACAAATAAAAGATATAGCTCCTAACTAACAGGCTGAGCAGGCCTACCGCTTGTCAGCCTCCACAGAAACTGTTTGTAAGTTTTCACCAACCTTGCAGCTCTTTCAGACAGGACTTGTCTGATTCCCAGGCAGAGAGCTCTGATTACAGGTTCCAGGTGAGGTTAAATTGCCAGCGGAGAGAGGAGTAAACTCTGTACTGGAGCCCGGATCAGCAATCCCTAAATGTATAGGAGAGGAACGTGGAAGACCTATAAATTCTGAACAGGACTTTCCCAGGCTCCCTCTGGGATGCTCTGATACAATACACATACATGAGGGGTGGCTGAAAAGTTCTGAGCCTGAGGTATTTACAATGACGATAATTGCTCATCCAGTATGTCACTAGTTGAGTACCTCTCAATAGGTATATATATATAGGCAGGGCTTGAAAAATTTGGCGGTGTCTCACCAGTCAGCATGACCGGACTATATAGCCTTGCAATATTTGTTAAAAAATTTTGGGGACAGATAGAGGTTTCTTTTGTGACCCCACGGGGGGGTTATTTTTTTTTACTATATAATGAAAAAAGTACCATAAATATATTTAAAAAAAAGTTTCCCTACGTTATGTTATAAAACATTTATTCTTACCCATATTTTTAGTAAAACATAAAAGTCGGGGTCACGTCGGGTAAATAGACACCAAACATGTCAAGCCTTAAAACTGCGTGCGCAAAAAACGCCCATACGCGACGATTAAAATGCTTTTACTGCTCATCAGTTTAGTGTTATCAGTGATTTGGGGGGGGGGGGGGGGGGGAGTAAAAAATAATAAAAATTTTAAAAAAGTTATAAAAAAGTAAAAAAATAAATATATTTAAAAAAAAGTGACAATGTAAAAAATAAAATAATGAATATGAACCCCGCTGCCCCCGCCATCTGCATGCAAATAAATACACGCATAGGACATTGTGTGTGTGCGTTGAGTGCTGCGGCCATTTCACTGTGCCATATTGTGGTAGCGAGGCAGTAGAACTCTCCCACACGGACAATGTGTATTAAAGGGCAAGTTCACTTTCCCAGGTAATATGGGAAAATGGAATTACCCGATCAAATCTGGCCCCCGGCTATACTTACCTTTCGGCAAACAGTCCTTACCCTCCGCCGGTACAGGTGTACTGTCCTCACCCCGTATTGTCCAGCGCAGTCCTGCCCTATGCATTTTGAATTTCGCTCGCTAATTGCAAGCACTCATTGGTCAGCGTGGTCTGGTGACCACGCTGACCAATGAGAAGCACTATTTAGCACAGGCCAATACAGTTTTGACTTGTACTCGCCCAAATGCTCGATACCTCCTCCAAGGTTTCCTCTGACCGGCAGTGCCATAGGGGAACATGGAGCCAGCTTCCCGTGCAATCAGGAAGCGGGGCAGCGACTAATAACCCACCTCCCAGTTTCCTGATTGGCCAGGAAGCCAGCTCCTTGCTGATTGGCTGGGAAGACAGCTTCCCAGCCATTCACAATCAAGCCGGCCAAACAACATGGAGTTGGTTTCCCTGGCAGTCAGGAAGCCGGGTAGCATCTCATTACCCGCTGCCCGGCTTCCTGATTGCCCGGGAAGCCTGCTCCATGCTCGGTGAGTACCGAAAGCAAAATATCGGTACTCGTACTCTATACCCAAAAACCGGTATTGGTGCATCCCTAGTCTTTATTAAAACTATTTTTTTTGTATTGGGACAAGTAGATTGTTAGAAGGACAAGTAGATTTGGCCCCCGCTTTAGCCCTTGGACAAGTAGTTTTTTCAAAAAATTTCCACACCACTGATATATATATATATATACTGTGAGCCGGCGATAGGTGCACATAAGCCCCCTGGGAATAAGCAGTCTCCCGGGCACAGATACCGAATCCAGGGGAGTAGTGGCAAACAGTGCAGTGTTTATTAGTGATATTAACAAGAGCATTCACAGGTGCTGTACAGCGGTTCACAAGAAATCAACAAAATAAAACCTAGCCGTATCCCGGCACTAACATCACAAATAAAAGATATAGCTCCTAACTAACAGGCTGAGCAGGCCTACCGCTTGTCAGCCTCCACAGAAACTGTTTGTAAGTTTTCACCAACCTTGCAGCTCTTTCAGACAGGACTTGTCTGATTCCCAGGCAGAGAGCTCTGATTACAGGTTCCAGGTGAGGTTAAATTGCCAGCGGAGAGAGGAGTAAACTCTGTACTGGAGCCCGGATCAGCAATCCCTAAATGTATAGGAGAGGAACGTGGAAGACCTATAAATTCTGAACAGGACTTTCCCAGGCTCCCTCTGGGATGCTCTGATACAATACACATACATGAGGGGTGGCTGAAAAGTTCTGAGCCTGAGGTATTTACAATGACGATAATTGCTCATCCAGTATGTCACTAGTTGAGTACCTCTCAATAGGTATATATATATAGGCAGGGCTTGAAAAATTTGGCGGTGTCTCACCAGTCAGCATGACCGGACTATATAGCCTTGCAATATTTGTTAAAAGCTCGTCACAGACGAGTGGATTTTTCGAGCCCTGTATATAGGTATATAAGGAAAGTTTTAGGTAATTAGCTTCAATACGCTCTGAGTAAATAAACTGTGAACATATCTGGGTCACCTACGCATCTGACAAAATTTTAACACGGGCATCTTGTTTTTGCAAGACAGTGCGCCAGTTCACACTGTGCAAGTTCGAGGCGTGCCTTAAGAAAAACTGGCTTTGAAGGAATCAACCGTCCACCTTATAGTCCTTACCTGGCCCCCAGTGACTATTTCTTATTCAGTAATTTCAAGAAAGAGTTGAGGGGGCCAAGATTTTAGGACGATGAGATGAAAGCTGCGGTAGAGGAGCATTTTTATAGTAGAGATCAAACTTATTGTCCTAATAGTCTTAGGTAGCTCAAGAAAAAATGTGAAAAGTGTATTGAATTACAGGGTGGCTATATAGAAAAATATTTTTTTTCAGAATTTGATTTTGATTTTTATTACCTTAGGCTCAGAACTTTTCAGCCACCCCTTTTATATGTATATATACACATATACTATGGATGTCCTTTAAGAGAATGGTTAAAAAATGAGAGCTGTGTACTTTGGGATTTTACCTTGGGTACAAAATCGTCTTGTACCACCCCATTTGAATAGTGTTTATTAACTTTGTCTTGTACAGAACGGAAGTAATACTCGTGTTGATTTGTTGATTTTCACAAAAGTCAAAGAAGAGAGGCAATTGTTGACATCATTTTTAGAGATACTTAAGACTTATTGTCACTTTAAGGGTTTTCCTGGCTCTTGAGCTTTAGAAAAGGTTACAGCTGGTTTGCTCGTTCTGCTTTAGTGGAAGCTGCATGTGGATTGCTTAAGTATATTGCCTAATAATTGTAATAGTTGTCAAAAAAAAACTTGAATATTTATTGGAATGGAACCAGTACAACCTCTGGTTTCACAAATGGAGCACATATAAATTGGCTTAACAATTTACTTAACACGCGTGATGCAGTGGGACGAAAAGTAAAAGCTCACACATTTCCCACCCCCCAAAAACAAGCAAACAAACATCCAATGCTATTATTTTTTTTCTTGCCAGTCTACATGCACTAATAGTGCCCAGTGACTTGAAGACTTTTCACTGATATTTTCTTGCCATGCTCTAGTACATCATTTGTGAAACTACAGACGTTGGCTGTCCAAACGTGAGACAGGTATGTAAGAATGTTCTAAAATGTAATTTTCTGTTTATTACAAAGGAAAGCTTGATAATTTTGGTACAGTCTGATTCACCACCGTTTTCTTTTCTCTCCTTCCCATGTCCCCCTGATTCCATTTTTATTTTGTTTTTTCTTTCTTTTTTACCCTTTTGCTTTTTCTTATACCTAATTTTTTGTCTTTCAATTCCCTTCATTTCTTTTGTACCATTTATCCCCACCCTTCTCCCATCTCAGTGTCTTTAGATGAAGATGAGATCACAGCTGAGCTGAATCGAGAACAGAATGAGAAAACAATTCGTAGCACACAAACAGCCCTACGCAACTTCAGGGAGTTCATTATTTCCAAATACCCCATGGAAACCAGAGAAATCTACATGATGCCTGGCAAGGAATTAGATGACTACCTGGCTTCCTTCTTTGTGGATGCTAGGCAGAAAGATGGATCTGATTATGAGCCAAATAGCTTAGCCAACTATCAATGTGGCCTGGAAAGGTACCTGAAAGAGCATCGGTATAGTTATAGCATTACCAGAGACAAAGAGTTCAAAAGATCTCAAGACGCTTTAAAGCAAAAGCAAATTGAATTGCGATGTAAAGGAAAAGGAAACAAACCACACAAGTCCATGAAACTCACCTTTGCTGATGAACTTATCCTTAGAAAGAGAGGTCTGCTTAGTCGATATAATCCTGAGGGTCTACTGAATCTTGTTTGGTTGAATAACACCAAAGCTTTTGGACACTGCACTGGCTTTCATGGCTCAACACTTAAATGGGGGGACGTCAGACTTCGAGTACTGGAGACTGGACTTGAATTTCTTGAGTGGATGGGTCAGGAAAGCCCCGATGCTAAGGTCAAGAGAGCAGGGACAGAATGCAGAGTTTATGCCACCCCACATTCCCCACAAACCTGTCCTGTTCAGGACTACAAGGAATATGCACAAAGGCGGCCTCCAGCTATGCGTTATGAAGATGCTCCTTTCTATCTTTCCATCAAGCCTGTGGTCAATTTAGCTGCTCTTCACTGGTACAACTGCCAGGCTCTTGGCAAAAATAAATTAGCCAAAATGGTGAAAACAATGTGTGAAAAGGGTAACATTCCTGGAAGAAAAACAAATTTCAGCGTGTATCAAAGTTGTAGTACCCTGTCAGAAGCCCAAAGCAATCAGCTAGTGCTGATCTGTAACAATTTGAGCCAGCAAGCTGCCCAGTCTATGGCTAGTCACTCTGGGACAGGAAACTTTATTGTCTCAGCCTCTTATGACTCTTCTTCAGACACTGCCTAAGCAGTAACTGTGATAGGATAGCACCGAGGCTTATTTAGGACCTTACACTGGTTCTAAATTCTAAACTGTGATTTTATGTTTGACCAGCCTGTTCTTATGTATACAGCTAATTCACTTTAGAAACTGAAATAAAATGTGTTATATTTATATATTTTTTTTGTTTTCATCACAGATCTCTTAATAGACCTAGTTTTTGTATTGCACTTAGAATATTTATTTATATTGTAGTGTTCAGCCAAAATGCATGTCGTAGTCCTGACAAGGAAACAAAAATTTGAGCAGCTGCTACAAGAATAAACATAACTTAAATAGACTGATCAGAAAACCCAAGTAATAAATTTGCCTTGACTGAGGACACAGCACAAATGGCTAAAATGTCAAATAAGGGTGCTATTATTATAAACTTTAATCCTTGAAGAAGCGACTTGAGTTGGCTCAGCTGCAAGCTCCTGAATGCCTGCCTAATGGGAAATGAGGAAACGGTACTGATTTAGCAGTATATATAGCGGCCTTTTTATCTTCTGCACTTAATTAAATTAAGCTACTTCGGCTCTCTCTTTCTGTAATATTCATATGACTGAGACATTGAAATACATTTTACTTTTTTTAATTAATATTATTATTATTTTTTTTTGGACATGTGTAGGATTTGTACAATTGTAACACTGGGACAAGAGTTCATTTATAGCAATATGCAGTGTTGTCCATGGCGTAAAGACTGTTTTTCAATGCATCTGCACTGTGGTGAACCTGAGCCCAGCCACAATTGGATATGTTTGTCTGAATATGTTTGGGTCTCTGAGGCATGTAAAAACTACTGAAATGTCAAGTTTTGACCTCCAAATACAAAACAAAATCCATGTATTTTCTGTGTGATGTCAAGTGTCTTCTGTGATCGGTGTTTCTTATTTTATTTTTTTTAAACCTATGAAATATATTGCCAAATAATAGTCATCTTTTTTTAAATCCACATACAAAGAACATACCAAAAGTCTTATTAGGGTTGCTCTTTGTTCTGCACCCCTAAATATAACAATCAAACGTTATAATTTTTAAAAGTGCAGATTTTGAAATTATAGCATAAATTGCAATTGAAAAAATCGGTGGTGTGGAAGAACAGCTCATAAAAGGAGTCCAAAATAGGTTTCAGTAAGTGCACTTGTCACTGAACAAAATATCCTTTAATGCAGGCACCTAGAGTTGCCTAAACATAACTCTTGAAACCCCAATGCCCTAATCCATTGTTGGTCAACTCACTTGAGATAGGGAGATTCAAATGTAGCCCCTGACATTGCTGAAGGGGCCGCAAATCATTTTCAGCAAATGTAATATTACACACAGTTGTCAGCGACTGCAGATATACTTCCTGGGATGGTCAGAGACTGCAGACTCACTACAAGAGATGGCCAGTGACTGCAGACATGCTATAGGAGTTATTGAAGACTGAGGACATGCTTCAGGAGATAGTCATAGACTGTGTATGTTGCTGGCACTCCATGTCAGCATTTTGAAAGGCAGCTTTATTGATCACATTAGTAAATGCAAGCAATGTTTCAGAGCAACTACAAGGACAAATTTATCACTAATTCCTGATAAAGGGACCCTTGTGGGGCTTCTACAAAGCATTGCCTCTTCAGGGACACAGAGACATAAAAATCTGGCTGGGATTCTAGCCTTTGCCTACTATATGATAAGCATTCGTATTTCTGTCTGCGTTGCTTTTAAAGAGTTCACCTCACTTCCTGTCTGATGTATAAATCTAACCCCCATGAAAACGTTTTAGCTAGACGTACACTTTAAGAGTACTAAAACTGCAGAAATTCAGTTGACATTTAATTCCAGAGAAGATATACTGCTATGCTTTTCCTCTAACCTGAATAACCCAGCAATGGTTGCAGGGCTTGCTTTTATTTTGTAAACACATTGAAAGGCCTCAGAATTGGTGGATTATGGAGGCGTTTCTACTCCCCACAACCAACCTCCTGGTAAACAATATCAGGACCCCTGTCCTATTGTTTGCAGAGCTCAGGAGACTAATGTTCAGTATATGAATTATATGTTTGTTTGCAAAGAACACAATTGTATTTTATGCCCAGTGCAAGATTTGTTTTACAAAGTGAAATTTTCAGAGAAGCCATTAATTTGTAGAATGGCTAGCCTTCATTTACAATTGCTTCCAGCAGGGTCATACACACTCTTGACACTGCATATCTACTGCTAAAAACAAAAAGTCTTTCTTTGCCTCATTACTATTCCGTATAGTACATACTTAGAATGGCAATTGCTTAAAGCTGGCAACTCAAAGTAAGATCCTAATTAGTCAATTTATCAACATTTAGCAATAACCATCTGATATATGGATCTTCCCCCAAGTAACTCTTCTGAACTGAATTTAGCTGGAATGCCCTCCCATTAGGCCTCTTGTACAAGGTGTCCGTCTGTTGCAATTTCAGTATATCCCTTCTATTAACAAATCAGCATCTTTTTGTCATGTTACATGGGCAGGCAAGAACATATCAGGGAAACAATAACAGGTTGCCAGGAGGTTAGAACAAACCATTCTTCAGAAAAACCTATTATACACAATAGGGGAATTTATCAAAACTGGAGCAGACAGAATCTGGAGCAGTTGCCCATGGGAACCAATCATCTTCATTCTTCAGTTTGTTCAGTTAAGCTTTGAAAATGAAAGCTGGAAACTGGTTGCCATGTACGGCTGCTCCAGATTTTGTCTCCTCCAGTTTTGATGAATTCACCCCAATACCTTCGCGTCTGTACGTGTGTGTGGTAAAATAGTGGAGAGGACAATGTAAGACACTTCTGGCACCAGCTTGTCTCTTGGGAAACAATAGCAAATGGTTATCAGGGGACTTTGGTGCAGTCTGATGACTTTTTATAGATATCGAATTTTTACTTGAATTAGGTAACAATCATATCTTTGAAAACCTTTACTTTTCCTGTGCAGTTCAATAGATATGTAATCAGCTATTTTGGTACAGATTTAGAAGGACAATGTACAAGTAATACATGTTTCCATCCTCACATACACTGATCAGCCGTAACATTATGACCACCTATCTAATATTGAGTAAGTCCCCCTTTTGCCACCAAAACAGCCCAGCCTGTCGAGGCATGGACTCCACTAGACCTCTGAAAGTATGCTGCGGTATCTGGCACCAGGCTGTCAGTGGCAGATGCTCTAAGCTGCAAGGTTGGGCCTCCATGGACTGGACTTGTTTTTCCAGCAAATCCCACAGATGCTCAATTGGCTTGAGATCTGGAGAATTTAGAGGCCAAGCCAACACCTCAAACTCATTGTTGCGTTCCTCAAACCATTCTTGAACCATTTTTGCAGTGTGGCAGGCGCATTATTCTGCTGAAAGAGGCCGCTGTCATCAGCGATCAGCGCTGTCAAACAGCAATACTATTTCCATGAAGGGATGTACTTGTTCAGCAAAATTTTTTAGATCGATGGTACAAGTCAAAGTAGCATCCACATAAAAGGCAGGACCCAATGTTTCCCAGCAGAACATTGCCCAAAGCATCACCCTGCCTCTGCTGGCTTGCCTTATTCCCATAGTGCATCATGATGCCATCTCTTCCCCAGGTAAGTGACACACACACACACCAGGCTATCCACATGATGCAAAAGAAAACGTGATTCATCAGACCAGGCCACCTTCTTCCATTGCTTCGTGGTCCAGTTCTGATGCTCATGTGCCCATTATAGGCACCTTTGGCTGTGGACTCGGGTCAGCATGGACACTCTGACCAGTCTTCAGCTACACAGCCTCATAAGCAACAAATTGCAGTGTGTGTACAGACACCAGGCACAACATTAACTTTTTTAGCAATTTGAGGTACGGTAGCTCTTCTATTAGATCCAATTACACAGGCCAGCCATTGTTCCCCACCTGCATCAATTAGCCTTGGGCACCCATGCGCCTTTTGTCGGTTTACCAGTTTTCCTCCTTTGGACCACTTTTGGTAGGTCCTGACCACTGGCAAAATCCGACAAGTGCTTCAGTTTTGGAGTTGCTCTGACCCAGTCATCTAGCCATCACAATTTGACCCTTGTCAAAGTCACTCAAATCTTTACACTTGCCCATTTTTTCTGTTCCAACACATCAATTTATATAATATAACTTGCCTAATATATCCCACCCATTTTCAGGTGCCATTGCAATGAAATAATCAAGGTTATTCGCTTCACCTTTCGGTGGTCATAATGTTTCTTGGTGATGTAAGGCTTGGATGCAGCTGCTCGCCCATGGAAACCCATTCCATGAAGCTCTCTACGCACTGTTGTTGTGCCACTCTGAAGGCCACACGAAGTTTGGAGGTCTGTAGCTATTGACTCTGCAGACAGTTGGCGACTTCTGTGCACTGTGTGCTTCAGCATGCACTCACCCCATTCTGTCATTTTATGTGGCCTACCACTTGGTTGCTGTTGTTCCCAGTTGCTTCCACTTTGTTATAATACCACTAACAGTTGAAGGTGGAATATTTAGTAGCAAGGAAATTTAACGGAACACCTAAATACAATGATTGGGAGGGGTGTCCCAATACTTTTGGTAATATAGTGTGTGTATATATATATATATATATATACTACCTGTCCAAAAAAGTCACCACCTGGATTTAGCTAAGCAAAGAGGTCAGAGCCTTCCATTGTATAATAGGTCTAGGTTCAGCAATGTTATATGCCCAAAGAATGAGGGCAGCTGCCTACCTGAATATACTGAATGACCAGGTTTTCTCATCAATGGATTTTTTCTTCCCAGATGGCACATTGGGCATATTCCAAAATGACAATGCTGGGATTCATCGGGTTAAAGAATGGTTCAGGGAGCATAACACATCTTTTGGATGTGCTGGAGAAGACTTTACATAGTGGTCCGACTCTCCCATCATCTCTACAAGATCTTAGTGAACAATTCATGCACCTCTGGACGGAAGTAAATGTTGTGACGTGTCATAAGCTTATTGAAACGATGCCATGATGAATGTGTGTCTTAATCAGTGTGTAGAATGAGTGTGACTTTTTTTCGGACAGGCATTGCATTATGCCATGCAAAATCTGATTTGCATACATAGACTCACTCTTGACAATTCAATAGATTTTGTTCTTAATTCTATTCTAAAGTCGTTTTCTGACTTTTACCTATTTAACAAAATGTGCTATCTATCAAATTTATGTTTTTTATTTTTGCAAAATTGAGGTGTACATTAGAGGTGTCAAAATATAAACAGATTTGCTTTAGTTAAAATCCCACCAGTGCTACTGTGATAGGCATTGTGAAAAGTAAATTGACCCTGTGGAATGCAATGCCCTGGCCAGTTAAAGTGACTATCTGCGAAAGGTTGAATTAACAGAAACGTAAGGGTCCATTTAGACTATTGTGTTGCGGTAATGACACGTTTTAACACTTTTTGATCTATTCTTGTTGTTCCTAAGAATTTCATGGATAAAAGACTGGTTAAAAGAGAGATGCATGCAAATAGCTTTACACATTCAAATGCAAGGTCTGCTTCTTAGATCAGGGCCGCCTCCCCTGTAATCTCACAAAAATACAGTACAGCCCAGTGCAAAAGCATCTTTATGTGCAATTTGGGATCCTCACTGTTCCCAAGTTCTTGCCGGAAGGGTTATGACGTCGCCTTTGCTTAGGCGCAGTGGGCAGATGATGATGGTAGAGTTAAGTACACCTTCAAACTTTTTTTTATTTATAGATGTCTTTTTGCCTTTCATATATAGTAATTTATACAGGGAGAGGGGAGCCTCATCTAATAAGTGGACCTTACATTTTACTGCAAGATCAGCTTTACCATTATTACCCAAACTCGTAGGATTCCTGTTGCAGCTGAAGCTCCTAAATTGTACTGGAGGATACTTTTGAAAGTGTATTTCCATTTTTGCAGCCAAATTGGGATTACACCTATTTTATATTTGTTACGTGTTTCTCATTCACATTGCATAACTAAAAAAAATAAGTAAAAATTGATAATTGCTCTTTTTCTGGAAACCCCAAAATGGTTTTTCCATTCTCTGTGTTGACAGATCTCATTATCAGTTGTAAACTAGGTTTGTGTGTCCTAATGTATGGGTTTAGATCTAGAAGCATTGTATGTTAATGATGAAATGCAGTCTGTCCCCCTTTCTCTTGGGGACAGACTCACTCAAAAACTGTATAGGATAGCCTGTAGTCTGGTCAAATGCCTGCTACAAATAAACAGCTAAAAGGTAAGGTTTTAAAAAAATTATCTTTATATATTTTGTGTGAATGGGAATTAACGACAAACATATATTGGGAGGAAACCGGGGTACCCGAGGAAAGGTACTTTTTAGCAAATTTTTCTTGACCATTCTCCAATTTGTTACGTTTATATTATTTAAGCCGTGTATGCCAGATCTGGTCAGAAATATATACGGTTGGAAACAATAACTAAATGTAATGTTTCCTGTGCAGTTAATTGCTTTGGTGAGGTCAACTAAACCAATCCAATTTCAAATGTTTTTCTGTTTATCCAGTATAGTGATCTGGTTTTGGCCATATAATGTTTCAGACACAACAAAAGCAAGAAAACACCCGGAGGACTCAGAAGTAGAGATTTGCCACCTAGAGTGGGGACCTTATTAATAATACATACACAGTATTTGGTAGCTAATGAGCCTTAACAGGCATACACACCCAAATGATAGCCATTTACGTTCTAACAATTTTCACATTTATATTTATATATTCACGGACATAACGTGAAGTCTCTGTTATAACACAATTTCTACTACCAGTTGTATAAAAATGTGTTAAAAATAGTAAAGATCCACATGTTGTAGTCAATAGGAGTAGCAATACATGGTTACAGCCTCATCTGTCTTATACTGCATATGACACCCAGAAGCCATGAGTTCTCCCCAAAATGTCTAATGAACCATATAGTCAGCATTAGAACTGTTCAATATATTTTTGACTAGAGCCATATTCATAGAGATAACTATTAACACAAATTTGTCTGATGAGGTAAATGTATAATTTGATGACATTTTACTCTTTGCTTACTGTATACTTGACGAGTAAATCAGCTATGAGTCCATACTGAGGCGTTTATACCTACTTAACACTTCATGTACGGAGGAGTTTATACCAAATAAATTCATATACTGAGAAGTTTATACCTACTAAATTCATATACTGAGGATTTTATACCTACTAAATTCATATACTGAGGCGTTTATACCTACTTAACACGTCATATACTGAGGCGTTTATACCTACTTAACACTTCATATACTGAGGAGTTTATACCAAATAAATTCAAATACTGAGAAGTTTATACCTACTAAATTCATATACTGAGAAGTTTATACCAAATAAATTCATATACTGAGGCGTATATACCTACTTAACACTTTACCAATGTAATACCTAAAATCACTTTTAGCACAATAAGTGTAAAATAAACTTTATCAGGGTTATTCACAAAAGGGTGAAGAGTTTGGAGAAGGCAGGAGAAGTGAACAATCTAGAACAACATAGTTGATTTGGAGAAGTTCTCCAATTCAGCTCACTTTCCAGTTCAGCAATATTGTCCTAGATTGTTCACTTCTCCTGCCTTCTCCAGACTCTTCACCCTTTTGTGAATAACCCTGTATGTGATTAATTTACTATAGGCAAATAGGCTGTTCACTTTGCAAGGGATTTTTCCTTTAGCTTAGCTAATGGGGTGAAAATTCCCTTTGCAAAGAATACCCAATCACGTGCAAGGCAAATTTAAAAAAACAAACAGTATTTTTGCTTGAATATGATTGGATGGTGGAAGTCAGCAGAGCTTCACCTCATTAATTAAGCTAAGTGAAAATTTCCTTTCAAAGTGAAAAGTCTATTTGTATTTAGTAAATCAACCCATATATGTCAGTCAAGGAAATGTTTTGAAATTAATTAGCAATCTTGTCGTGTTTAAGTACAGAGAGTCATAAACTGTGTTGCTGAATTAAATCTGCAGTAATTTAGTGGAAAATTATAGCTCCAAGGTATAACAGTCTCACTGATTTTTTTGTCTTGCGTCTACTCTATATTTCAAAACCTAAAAATATTATTGATGAAAAAGTACTAAAATATACAGGGTTATTCACAAAAGGGTGAAGAGTTTGGAGAAGGGAACAATCTAGGACAACATAGCTAAACTTGAAAATGAGTTGAATTGGAGAACTTCTCCAAATCAGCTATGTTGTCCTAGATTGGTCACTTCTCCTGTCTTTTCCAAACTCTTCACCCTTTTGTGAGTAACCCTAATAGTATTTAGGTCATCTTCCTTTTCTGTGATATGATATGAAAAAATATACATTTACAGACACTTTGTTTGCAAACTTTTCCCCAGGGATGCATTACTGCAGGTGAGCATGAAAAGCTCCACTCAATACATTTTAATATCCCAGCTGCCCTATATGATGTTCATTGAGTATCCTGAAAATGGTGCATGTTTAAGTGGACCATCAGCAGCGGTTTTCCCAGATATTGTCTTCTAACACCCACGTTGGAATGTAGCTTAGTGAAATAATTGTATGCATCATTTTACAACTGGAGTTGCTGGTTAGCAGAGCAAAGCACATATATTTTCTTGCCTGTATACAGATACCAACCAAACCTACTTTCCTCCATCTCGTACCCATACAGTCCAGGTCTACTACATCTTCCTCTCCTCCATGATTGCACCTGTTTTCCTCCTAATTCTTCTACTGTTTTGGACAGTATCTCCACTCTCCTTTGAATATCCTGAAATTTGGGACACTTAAGCACTAGAGGAATGCAAAATAAAATGGGGAGGATTTATCAAAACTAGAGGTGACAGAATCTGGGGCAGTTGCCCTTAGCAACCAATCAGCTTCTCTCTTCAGTTTGTTCAATTTAACTTTGAAAATTACAGAGAGAAGCTGATTGGTTGCCATGCGCAGCTGCCCCAGAGTCTGTCTGCTCCAGTTTCGATAAATTCCCCTCAATGTGTTTAAATGTTGTTTGTGCAAAAGGTGTGTGTGTATTCATATGTTCATCCTTAGAACTGTCATACAGTTCAAATACTGAGGTTAAGTTTTTTGATTACTCTACTTGTGTTCAGTTTATTCACCTAATAAGTGATTTCTCAATAAATATTATGCTAGGGTCCCATTACATATATAATGCATAAAAATCAAAAAATCTGATTGCTTAGAATTGCATCTTACACCTCACATTGTCTGTCTTCTGTTATAGAACTCAATGTATCAGTTTAATTAATCTATTTATTTTATACTATTTTGCAGCATACTCAACCAAGCTCAACAGATTCCCAATCTTTCATTTCCACGATGACCTGAAGGATCTGTGCATCAGCGCAGTGAGCTCAAATACGACCAAAGCGACCCTGTATGCTTTAAATGTATGGCGGTACTGGTGTATGACAAGAGGGCTTAAGGACTGCATGGACTTCACCAAGGTTAGAGCATGTTTCTATAGGCCAGCAGGACCATTCAGTTTTTAATTGTGACTTATTACTACTGCTGATAAAAAGTACCAGCTAACTAAGTACAATGCAGATTGCTTTGGTCTGCACCTTGAGACTTAGTTCTCAACTCAAAACCTGGAGCAGTAAATTTGAGCATGGGATTTTCAATGCCAAGAACAAATAAGAATTTCACTGTAAGCATCCATGCCCACATAGCCAGTACTCATCCCTAAAATACTGTATTTTCTGATACTCACAATGAACCTGTCCCTCTCCCTTCTGCAACACAACTATCTAAAATAAACCCTAAATACATCCTAAAAATAAAGCGCACACTTAAAATGAACTCTTAACTTAATATATAACCTTATCACATCCTCCTAACAGTATCTCTAATAAACCCCCTTACCCTAACCTTAACAGACATAAATTGGACATAGATGCCCATCTTATAAGATGGCCAATCATTTTTCACCTGGCTCAGTACATTTTTACATCAACTTTTATGAGCAAGGTGGTGCTTGCAGGCCCACCCATGACTCAAATTTCAGCCAGTTCAGCGGGAATTGGACTAAATTGAGACCATCTATGCCCAGCTTAAATCCTTAAAGGAGAACTATGGGGTTAGGGCTTTTCCCCATAGTTCTCCTTAGGGTAACGGGAGGACACAAACTAGCGTCCTCCCGTCAACCTAAGCTCAGTATACCGCAAGCTACAGCTCGCGGTATACTGAGACGCCGCAGTATACCGCAAGCTACTTTTTGCGGTATAGTGAGACGCCGCAGCTGAAGCGGATCCCGACAATTATGTCTGGATCTGCCCAGCTGCGTGAGTGACAGCTGGCTCTGCCTATCTAGAGGCAGAGCCAGCTGTACCCGCCCCCTCCCTCGTCCGATCCGCCAGTCAGCGCTGGAGGAGCGGGGAATCCAGCCCCTCCCCTGTCACGGCAGAGAGCTGTGACAGGATCGAGAGGTGAGCGAACGCTGGTATGTATTCGCTCACTTCTCGATCTACTGAGCCGACCTGTGACAGTCTCATTGTCACAGGTCGGATAGAACTATGAGGTGAGTGAAAAGCACTCACCTCATAGTTCTCCTTTAACTACCCTAAGCCTAGCTATTGCCAAAAACAAATTAGAACCTTAATCATTGTTAATTTCTTGGCTTACATGGGCTGGGATTTCCACGCCAGTAATTTTAAATTTCCTGCTGCCTCTAAACCATAAACTATAGGAGTCAAACTGTGGATACATTTTTTAGAAACCAGTAGCTTGGATATTGCTCATTCAGGATGATTCAATTTGTGATTGGCAATCAACATAGTAAACATCTGGTAAAAATGTTATAGAATCTACCTAGCTTAAAATTGAAACTGTGCATTCTTTTTTTTTATGGTTTGGATCAGTGGTAAGTCCTGATTTATTTTTGTCTTTTTTACTGGTTTGACTACAAGAAGTGCTGAAAACTCCAATTCTAATGTTACATAAAGTTACTGCACATAATTGATCTTGGTGCTGTGGTCAGGCTATGATGATTAAAGCATATACGTACATTACTTAACAAGCAATTATTGAGCCGTTCTTGATCTCTGTAGCTGAAAGCATGGCGGAGCAATTCCTCCTCAAAATTCATAGCAAAGGCAAAGTCAGTTTTAGTTGGATTGTGAGCAGCTTTAGCTCACCGTGCTTCCCCCCTCCCATCAGTTACTTGGCAGCCTTCCAGCCTCCTAATGTAAACACAGATTAGGTGCTCTGTGTCCTTGGTAATGTAACCATATACCTTATAAATTGTCTTTGCTTTATTCTGAAAATAGCCTGCCTAAACAATGGAGAGGCATTGAAAACACTTAATATACATTCTGTAGATGTAAAGGCCATTGCTGTTAATCTAGTAGGTTTATATGAATACAGAGGACAACCATTTCTGGTTGTATACTTGAGCGGGCGGCGACAAGTTTTTCAACCTACCCAATTAAAACACCTTGCAAGAGCTAGTAGGTGGTATGGCCTGCCACCATAGGCACAAGATTGCTGACCAGTCACAACTGGGCTGTTGTCTTATGTTTAAGGGCTGCTGTACTTTTAAATGTTAGTCAAATATTAATAGATAATCGGACTGCTAATCGTTCCTATGTGCATTTATTATCTTAGAGTAGAAACGAGGAGAGCAGTCCCTACCAAGGCAGGAAGTGACAGAAAGTAATAATAACTTGACAGATGTTTTACCCATTCTTCACGTTACTGATAAATTTGTGTTTTGTTGCAGTCTGCCCCCCCCAGTGGAAAGATTTCCCATCACTTCCTGTGAGAAAAAGCCCCTCATTGGGGTCACAGACCGCAATACATCCCTGTTATTGGCTCTTTTTACCACTCTGTCCAAACATTAAAAGAAAAGGTTTGCCTGGAGTCGGGCTTTAAGTTTATGTTGTTCAGTATAGCATATGTTTTTTTGAGATAATGTTTTACATACATTAGACACAATAACATCACCATGTATATGGAAGTGTTTAAATAATGTATGCACTCCTTTAAAATGGTATAGTTACAATGTCACATTTCAGGACCCCCTTTTAACTTTTTTTTTTATTTGTATTTAAGGTTCCTGCAGTGAAGCTAAATGAACTTCTAGAAGATTTTTACGTGACCGTAAAAAAAACAGATGGGTCGGATTTTTTGGCCACTTCACTCCATGCAATACGTAGAGGATTAGACCGGATCTTGAAGAATTCCGGAGCTGGGTTTTCCATCACTAGCAGTGTCTTTAATTCTTCATCTCAGAAACTTAAAGAGAAGTTAAGAATGCTTAACAAAGCGGGAATGTCAGGCTCCCGATCACGCAACATTGTCTATTTCTCGCTAGCCGATGAAGAGGAGATGTGGAGGACTGGGTGTCTAGGTGACGATGGGCCTGTCTCTTTGTTGTCCTCCGTGGTAAAGTACAATAGTCAGTTCCTAAACATGAGGACTTTACAGGAACACGCTGACCTAATGTACGGAGATATTGAATTACTCAAGGATGCAAATAATAGACCTTTCTTTGGTAGAACAGATAGTGTGAAAAGAGACAAGCAAGCAAATCCCAGTAAAATGTGTTATGGACAGATCTACCATGAACATTCAAAGGGACAACAAAGATGTCCTTACTGTCTCCTTTATAAGTACATGTATACCCATCGTCCTCCATCTCAGATGGAACCAAACGCACCATTTTACCTAACTGCTCGAAAAGAGGTCAGCGTAATGGAAAAAATCTGGTATGACGAACAAAGAATGGGGCTAAGATCTTTGCGTGGTGTTGTCCCAAAGATGGCCAAACGTGTGAAGCTAGACAACTGTGATAATTATACATTTGTTTCATTTACTCAAACATTCAGAAAGTATGGTCCAGTCAATAACTATTAAGATTTTTCCAAATAACATAAATTAACTACTTGCACAGCAGAGGGGATCTTGTAGAAGGTAACTGAGCTGCAACTCTTGTTGTTTTTGTATATTTTTATTACAATTATGTTATGTTTGGGATAAGAAACAAGCTAACGGTGTGCTGTAGAGATCACAAGATCAGTGTTATTTCCAATGCATCAAAAGTATATAGTGCCTTTTACCACCTGTATTTGAATAGAAAAAGATATAAAAGGGTGAAAAAAGGATCACGTTTAGCACAGCTGTTTCCAGTTTGCATACCTCACAGACTTTCTACCTGCATTTTCAAGGTAGGTACTATGTAGCTTAAGTGCTTATGTACTCTGAGACAAGCAGAGCAAGTTTCTGAGCTACTGCTAAAAGATTCTCCCCTAGTGAAATTCTATATAAAGCTAACGTTTAGTTATGTTTTTTGGTGGTATGCAGCAATAGGTACATAACTCCAATGAAGTGTGTCCTGCTGGCTACTGCTAACTTTAGAACTCTTTCCTCCACTGGATACTACTGTGATCCATCGGTGCTGCTCGCTCTCCCCTTCCTTCTCTCTTGCCCATTCACAGAAATTGTGGTAGTCTTTCTTAGAATGCAGAGCGCTCTGTGATTGGAAGAGGTGGATCCTATGATTCATCTACCTGTTCTCCATTCACAGAAGGCTTTGCATTCTGGGAAAGAATACTATGATTACTGTAAATGGGCAAGAGATGAGAAAGGGGAGGGTGAGTGGTGCTGATGGTTCACAGTCGCAGCCACTGAACATAAACTCCACAATGGCTGAAGATCCATGCTGCAGGGAGTATCTGGCATCACTGGAGGGAAGATTTTTACACTAAGAAAATTCAGCAGGACATGGGACATAATTAATTTTTTAGATTGTAAGCCCTCACCGACAGTGCCCTCCTTACCGTCTTGTCTTGAATTGTATTCTGATTGTAATGTCTTCCTTATATTGTAAAGCGCTATATAAGTCCTGTATAACTGTTGGCGCTATATAAGTCCTGTATAATAATTAGAGCTAAGTTATGTCCCTGGTGCTGCATACCTGCATACCTAAAAAAAACAACTAAACTTCAGCTTTAAGTGAACTAAATTATATAATGTACTGGCCAAAAAATATTATATTGGGCATTACACAAAGGTCCATCCTGAATAATGTCAGCATAATCCACACCACTTTACAGGGACCATGGATCCATTCACATCATTCACTGCCTCTGATGGGGTGAACTGTTTAATTTCCCTTCCACACGCATACATATAAGCACATACATGCAACAGACAACAAGTAATGATGGGAAAACTCTGCAACAGGAACAGTAGAATGTGGAAGGGCTAGAACCTTGGTCAATGTTTTTCTTGCTTTAATAAATGTATGAAGACGAGGTGCTAAGTATTCTTGTTCTCAGTAATCCACATTGAGGATAGCTTTTCTCCTTTGCAAAAATTGGAGGACTTGGTGAGGTTGCCCCCACAAGGACAAGAAACTCCCAAACAAGAGGAAGGGAGTCTCCAATAAATTCAGTCAAGAACAGACGGAGATGTCATCAAACGTTTTAAAGTACAAATTGATTATTATTGTTAAAAGATCGATAAGATAAAAAAATCCAACAGGTTTCGGGGGTCCACTCTGCTCCCCTTTTGTCAGGGCTTAAAAAAATGCTTGGTTAGTAAATCTTTTTGTGGAAATATATAACAGTATTAACCAGTGTCTGTGACACTGGTCACTGGTTCAATCAGGTAATTACCAATTCATTCACAGACACTAGTTAACACTTATATTTAAATCCAAGTCCACTTTCTCCTGAAAAGGATATAGCCAACCAAGCATTTTTTAAGCCCTGATTAAAGGAGCGTAGAGTGGACCCCATAAATCTGTTGGCTTTTTTTTAACTGATCAATCATTTTATCCATAAATAATCAATTTGGGCTCTACAAAATCAAGAACATCAGTTCATGATTTTATTGCCATAATGGCCTTCCAGTCCTGATGATTGATCAGTTGCCTACCATTTCTTGTCCTGATATCACAGGCACAGAAAGTGAGTGAAAATCTTCCTAGGCGGGTCACAGACAGAAATAAAAACCTCACAGAAATGTTGACTCTTCCATACTCTATCCCTATTTAAAAATGTAAAAAAGTTGTCTGGTGTTGGTTTCCAAAGTTTTGGATAGAGTGGAAAAGGTTAGACCCCTTTAGGATCTTACTATCCGTTTAAGAGATTTCTCCTCACATTATGTCTTTCTAACAAGGTTTTACCAGACAGAAAGTGAGGGGAACTCTCCAACATCAACACAGACAGAAATAAAATTGCTTTTCTTTAGTAGGGTAGAAGGATAGAACCACTGTCAGAGTTTTATTCCTGAATGTGTACCCTGTTGCATAATTCCCTCACTTCCTCTCTGATAAAATCTTTGTTGCCAGAATAGAAAATGAAGGAAAAGCTCTCTATTAGAACCCCAGATAGCAATAAAAACCCATCCAAAGTTCTCATCCTTTATTGCGCTATTTAAAAGTAGAAAATAACTTTTTGGCTTCACATTTACCTTAAAAAAAACTAGTTTAGTATGGTCCAGATTAAAAACATTTCTTGAAAAAAACATTTCTACACTGTGGTAGAGACATTTGACTGTAAACATCTGTAGGGCAGGGACAGATTAAATGGTTTTGCATACCCTGCAATGTGCTATGTACTGTGCTGGTGCAGTATAGCTAATAAAAAATAAAATAAATACAGGCTGTCCTTTCACCAGTCCCAGATCAGACAAAATAAATAGAAAATGTAGGTAATGATAGATTCTGTAGTTACAGTTCTAGGAATGAGATTTCTTCTTGAATGATTAACATAATAAGAGGACAACATCATTGGGTCTATTGTGGCAATAACATATGTAGCAATGACCCATGAAGGAGTTGCTGGATTTTATGTTTTCTCCTAGTCTTCTTACTGATGATTTGGCCTTTAGCTCCACCCAAAGTGAGTTACAACCCTTTAGAATCAGCACTAGGTGACACCTAGTCTTGCCCACTGCTTTCTGGATGGGCAGTACTGCCGCTGTTGCTGAAACCCTCCCACTGTGAGCTGCAGTGTCTGGGAGGGGAGCTTGTGAGGCACAAATGAAGAAGCATTTGGCCCAGTCAGGGAGGGTAAAGAAAGTTTTTTGTTTACTTTATAAGACTTGTGTATCGCCTAGTAACTGAATTTGGTACGTATTTAGATTGTCATACAGTAGCCTTTACTTCTACATTAATTCATATTTTTGTGACATTTCATGACTCAGATAAACAAGGGAAAAATCAAGAGCCTTCTAACAGTAGACAGTATAGCTTTACTTTAAATGAAAAATATGGACTTTATATATGTGCTGGAGTAAATAATCATTTAGTCTAATCAAAGATGGAAGCAGAAGTGCCTCAGTTTTATGTAGTTATCATGATAACATTATGATGTCCACTGTTGTCTTTGTCTTCTCTTATGTCTGAAGAAGGATCTGTTTTTAAAATATTGTACACTGGATCTGCACGCACTGCAGTTGTTTTAACTAAAAAAAAAAAATCCTAGATAATAAAATATAGCTGTGTGTGTATATCCTGATTTGTTTTTATTATCCTGCTCTCAATCATTCTAATCACGTTTGCTTATGTTTATGTGTAGTGCGGAGACTGTGGGTAAATGTGCATGGGCTTCACACTAACACTGTAGTCAAGTACAGTATTTAATGGGAAATGGCTTGCCTTGATGTCCTTTTGGGTTACTTTTACTGAGCTTATGAGCTGCTTGATGATGTAATTTAAGATCTCTACTAAAAACACAGTGATTTTACTGGAGCACATGCTACAGCTTTGATGATCTCATTGGTGTACTTTTTCCATGAAACAAAATATCCCCACCTCCACCTCCTTTTAGCAAGAATTGGGTAGCAAAAAACTAAGGCTGAATATGTGGAATTTTTGTATTGAATCTATCTAAAAATATCTTATAGCATGTGGCAAAATGTCTGACTTCTAAGCCCCCATTTACACCCGAGTGCTTTGTAGCTTAAAGCTACAATACGCTCAATATTAAAAATCCCATTATCTTCTATGGTGCCTCTTCACACCTGAGTGCTTGAGTGCCTGTAGCAAAATGTCTGCCACTCCAAAAAGTACAGGAACATTGTTTCAGGCACAATCAAATGTTTTGGCTCTATAGACTTTAATTGAAGTGCTTAAAAAACTCAGGTGCTCCCATTTGAAAGTCTATGGGACCAAAAACTCTGACTTCTGCTTCTGTACTACAAATAGTACATAAAATGCTTGAAAAAGGTGTGTACAGATGTGCAAAAAAGCCTGTAAATCGCCTGCCTATGCTCACAGGTGTGAATGCAGCCTTAGAGATCAAAGCCATTGAAACGGTATACATTACAAGTAACAATGTAGAATTTGAGTTTTTTGTTCTCAATTTTTTAAATATATAGTTGGTACCGTTAAACGTTAAAATATGGAAGTGTGTTTGAGGAACTGTTAGCAAACCAGCAACAGTTAGGCAGATGGGCACTCTATTTACACATGACTCCACATGCCAGACTTCAAACACTCCCAGCTGAACCCAATAGGCTATTTCCCTGGGACCTACTGGATGACACAATTGAACTTGCTGGATCGGTCGGAATACTCACAATAGCCCATACAGCAGCAGAGCGGCTCAGTCGAGCCGAAGGCATATACTTCGGCTTGGCTGAGCCGAAGTGACAGCCGAAGTGGGAAGAACGGCCTGCCGGAGGGCCGACTGTTCCCCACGCGAATGGCAGCTAGAAGACTCTGGCAGGTGCCGGCCAATAGGAAACTGTTTTTTTTTTTCTTTTCTTTCAAATATTTTTTTTGTTTCCTATTTATTTACATTTTTAGAATAATTTTTCAACTTTTTTTTTTAATATTCATTTGACTTATTTTCTATTCTGCTCGGTACCTTGGAGATAAAAAAAAAAATACAGCATTTACACTA